TGTTTGACCAATAGTTTAATCTTAGTTTTCATTTTTGTTTACTAAAACAACCTTGTGTTTGCAGTTCCTCACATACGCCACAGAATTCCATTTCTGTCTTCTTTCCCACAGTGATGTTTACTTCATAAAGCAGGAACTGTTGAAGGTCACTAGCTGCATTATTTGTGGTTGCTGACTAAGTTTCTATATGTTATGTATATGTTCTTTCAGCTCTTTAAATAGTTTTAGCCTACAGTTACAACACACATACACACACACACACACGCATGCACGCACACAGCCAGAAGATGTTGGAAGACAAGTTTTCTTTTGAATAAGTATAATTCCTTAATAAAGATTGAATGAAATATTCTACATTGCGAACACTGAAATGTGCTTTCAGATGTTAATTACGTGCTGTTTATTGTTTGATTGTATTGGCATTGAGCGGTGTCAAGGTTGTTTCAAAGCATAGCTCTGCAGCTTAGTGCAAGACGCAGAAATGTGGTTTCATTTGTCTCAGTAAACTGTAAAAGTTTTTTTTTTTTTCGATTTTGCACCATTTTGTCTCACTTCTTACAAATCAGTGAACTGATTTTTACAGAACAGTGTCAACAGCCCCACATGATATGTAATGTTTTCAGTTCTAATTTCTGTCACTTTGGCTGTACGTTTAAATTGTAGGGATATGTGGCCCAAATCCTATTATCCAATGCTATTTTTTAAATTCTGATTTGGGATACATCCAAACAGTTTGACATCCTAAATCTGATATAATGTTCAGTCTAAACAGTCACATCAAAATATATGTCACTTTTACATCAATATTGCTTGTCGTTATCAGCAAGCACCTTAAAAAATTTAACTTGGTTGTCCTTTTTTTTACTCTGCGATTATGGCATTTAATCAACTTTATGCTATTTCAAACCTTAATTCTAGTTCTTGAGAAAAACAACACTAGGTCTCTCTGACTTTCAATAAACAGACCAGTGTATTATTATTATTATTATTATTAATTTAATTTTGTATTGTTTTTTATTATTTTTATTTATCACCACAGTAGAATGAACTAACTATTCCAGCATATGTTTTACACAGCAAATGCCCTTCCAGCCACAACCCAGCACTGGGAAACTCCTTCACGCTCATACACTACAGACAATTTAGTATATTTAATTCACCTATAGTGCATGTGTTTTTATACTGTGGGGGAAACTGGAGCACCCGGAGGAAACCCACTCCAACACATGGAGAACATGCTAACTCCATACAAAAATGCCAACTGACCCAGCCGAGGCTCAAACCAGCAACCTTCTTGCTGTGATGCGATCGTGTTACCCACTGCGCCACCGTGATTATTATATTAATAAAATTATTATATATATATATATATATATATATATATATATATATATATATATATATATATATATATATATATATATATATATATATATATACACATATATGTTATTATTATTATTATTATTATCATTATTATTATTATTATTATTATTATTATTATTGTTATTATTTTTCCCAGTACTGGGTTGCGGCTGGAATCACATCCGCTGGTAAAACATATACTGGAATAGTTGGCGGTTCATTCCGCTGTGGCAACCCCTGATAAATAAGACACTAAACCGAAGAAAAATGAATGAATTAATTAATTGTCACATATCACATAATCAATAAGTAAATAAACGTCACATTTGCTTTCATCTGTCAGTGCATGTGGTCTTGTTATGGTACTTTTGTAAGTGTTGTTCGGTTCAGAACTGTGGTCAGTTCACACTGAATTCTGTTACTGGCCACAAATTATCCACAAATAACAATAAATCCCATCTGAACTATAACTTATAACTGAGAACCACTGCTTGATGTGTAAGTATAGTCTTTCATATTTAAAAGTCTGCATGAACCACAATTTCCCACTGACTTTAATTCAGTGTTGTGACATATTTCCAGCTGGAACTGGATATTGAATAGAGGGCAGGGGTTTTATTTTAGAGAGGAGAGGAGTGATGAAGAATAATGTGGCTAAGTCATCAAACCGAAAGAAAAGGAATGCCAATTATCAGATTTAGATGAAAGATTAGCAAGGCCATTTCTTTTTCTGTGGATTTACATGCAGTTTATTTGTTCACCTTAAGAAGATCATTTCAAGATAACAAAGTAAATTTGGTCCTCTTGATTGAATGTAGACATTATTAAAAAAAAATACATAAGCAATAAATCAGAATGTATCAGCAAGGTTAATAGTCTAAATGTAGCCATATAGCAACAGTTTAGCATAGGTCTCACAGTAATTATATATGTTTAAGACTACTAGAGACTATTGACCTTATTCTAAAATGCGGAAGTGCGCCTGTTTTTGCGATTGTCTTAGAACTTCCGGTTCAGTCGCCTATGGGAGAAATGACTAGGAATAATAAACGGCAGAAAACGGTCAAACTACTTGCTCTACAAACAAATGTTTGCATGACTACTGTATACAGTCCAAGTAGAATAATATAATAAGAAAATATCAAATTGCAACATCAAGCAGCGTAATGAGCAGTTTTAAACGTCAAAAAATGAATGGAAGTGAATGACACCGGAAGTCTCAAGCCAAAAAGATTCAAATGGCAGCGCCCGCTCGTCGGCGGTGAATAAGGTGAATTAAGCAGGTGTGAGTTGGAGGTGGTTGGGGCTAAAGTCTGCAGAGCTGCGGTCCTCCAGGAATGAAGTTTGAGAACATTGGTTTAAAGCAATTTTGAAAATGTATTTCTTTTTATGATTTTACAAACTTACATGACCAATAAATAATTAAATAAGGTGATATTTTTATTGAAGTCAGTGGATCTAGTGTTGTTTTGCTCAAGAACTAGAGTTAAGGTTTGAAACAGCAAATGTTGAGAAAATAAAAACATATTTTCATTTTTTTGTTGCCTAATCCCTTTAATCAAAATTGTATTTAATGGAACTGTTTCTTTAGCATTGAATTCACCATATAGAAATCTGATATGTGGTAATGTATTCTAATTATATATATGACAGACATTGACATTAACACCCGGCTGGTTAGACAGTCACTCCCACTAGCTACTTTTTCTGGTTGAAAATAATTTTTTAATAGTAGTTTTCTTAAAAAGCAGGGTTCGATAATAAGGATGGCTTAATATGCATGCAAATGTGAAATGTGAAAATAAAAAAGCATCATGACTGACAAAAATAATGTTCGTGTGAGCAAAATAAAGCAGGTGAATAAGAGGATGATCACTGTTTATGTGAAGTTTAATTTTAAACTAATTTCGAGAGGAGCACATGCACATTATTGACCAAGCTGGCCCATATTAGCTAATCATGATCCTCCAATCAAAGAATCCCAAATCACTATATATATCCTCATTTTCTTTCTACAACTGTCTTTGTCTGGAAGAAACCACCTTCCTCTATTTCCACCTTAGCACTGTTGCCTCACTGCAAGAATACCAATGGCGTCTGGTCCTCGCATGGGCCATATTTCTGTGCGGAGTTTGCATGTTTTCCCACATGGGTTTCCCCTGGTTCCCCGTTTTCCTCCCACCGTCCAAATATGCTCTATATTATAGATTTTATAGATATTTATTCTAGAAAATAAGCCAAAATCTTTTTTTCTAATGTCTTACTCTCAGGAAGTTCACCTAGGCCTCAGCAGTGGGGGAGTTTGAAATCAACCTGAGCTCAATTTCCCCCTTGCCCTGTGAAAGGGAGGAGCCCTGGGCCCGAGGATCCCTTGAGCTCAGGGCTCTCTCCTGGCACAGCACACCAAAAAAGATGTATAAATCATCAGCTAAGTGTGAACTCTTGGAAAAGCGTACACGTTCCCGTTTTCTGATGCGAAGCAGCCGAAACGTAACGGTTGCTATTGGTTTTCTTTAAAATAGACTTGACAAAAAGAGATCCTCGTGCACCCACAGTCCTGCTGCTCTCAATGCTTCAGATGTTTTTAAAAATGTCTTTTTGCAACCAACACCGGTTGCCACTTTCACTTTAACCACTCTTTGAACAGATTAATATGGGCCTATTATTATCACACGCAGTAGGCCTATGTTTTTTACCTGCTTTATTTTGCTTAGAGTTATTTTTGTTAATGATTTAATTATCTTTTTTACAATGACAGTATTGACTCTTTAATAGGAGATTAACTCCCCATTTGTGTGTAGTTAACTGGTGATCTGAGAGACCTAGCCATTATTTTAAATACACTGCAATAATTTTTTTTTATGTCAATTGTTTGTTTATTTTTTTTAAAGAAAAAAACAGTTTAATTAAAAATGCATGTATACAGCTATATTTTGCTTGTCTTAAAACATATTATTTAAAAATTGTGGCTAAGAAATAATCATTATTGGTGTGGTCAGAGAAAATTAAGAAAAAATACATTTTTAGTGTTGAGCCCTGAAAAGTCATGTGAAATAAAACTAATTGCAATGCGACACTATGAAACCTTAACTCATTTGATAGTGCTCATTGAGCAAGCTCATACACAACACAAAAAAAGTTAAATGAACGAGGAGGCATGTGGAAATACCAATCTAAATCAAGTAATTTTAGCATGCCAAATTCAAATTTTATGCATGTAAAATATATTTTCCCAACAACATAATTGTGGCTAGTGAAAATGGCAAGTGGCTAGTAATGTTGGAAAACTACGAGCCACAGTGGCTGTTGAACAAGAAAGCTAATGTCAAGCCCTGAACATGTACATTTACAGTTGAAGTCAAAATTATTAGCCCTTTTGTAATTTTTTTTTCTTTTTTTAAATATTTCCCAAATCATGTTTAACAAAGCAAGGCATTTTTCACAGTATTTCCTATAACATTTTTTCTTCTGGAGAAAGTCGTACTTGCTTTATTTTGGCTAGAATAAAAGCAGTTTATAATTTCTTTCAAAACTCTTTTAGGGTCAAAATTATTGTATTTATGTGTTTAAATATGGCCATGTATCAGATTTCCATACGGGTGTGTGAAAAAAATCTTTCTTTCTCTCTGCTTTAGCTCTATGACGGTGCGTAAGGGAAAAAAGCTCACCATCTCCATCCAGGAACACATGGCCATAGACGTCTGTCCGGGCCCCATACGACCAATTAGACAGATCTCTGCCTATTTCCCCCGTCTCTCCCCAACCGCTGAGCCCGTCTCTCCGAACCCTGCTTCTCCACTGTCTCTCAGCCCAGGCCTCGGGGCCTCTGGAGGGGCAAGTGGAGGCCTGTTGTCTCCATTGCAGGCTGGAGCGAGAGGAGGAGGTGGGACTCTGTCCGCAGCCAGCAGCATCGAGACATCGGTGGACATCTGCAGTTCAGACAGTGATGACAGCAGTAAGTTTACACATTAAGATCTTAATTAATCAGCTATATGAAATACAAATGCATGGAAAAAGTTTGGACACCCTTTTGAATTCCATAATTGTCTTTATCAAGATATAGAGTATAAGTTTGAACATTATGCACTTAATAAATCTTAATAAATCAATCAACGACAATTACATATACAGTCATTTTGGACTTCAATTTCAAAATAAAGCAATTTCAGTCCACATATAAAAGTACTTATAGGCCTTGCAGGAATACATGGCCATTACACAAAAGTATTGCGTTGGTCATATATTTCCTTATATAACAATTTATTGGTGCCTGAGCAAAACAAAGAGAAAGAAATGTGAATTATTATGCTAATAATTTTGCAATATCAAGCCTTTCCATTAGTAATATGCATAGCCCAGACTAATATAACAATTTGCAGTGTTGTTATCCATCTTACCATCTGTCAGATATGCACGCCTCCTAATTGCGTTCCAAAATGGATCATTTAATCTGCTTCCTGACAGGTTTTATATATACGTTATTGATGCTATTAATGTGCACATTATCATTCCTGTGATTGTGTAGCTGCGCTGGGGACGCTAGAGTTCGAACTGAGGTATGAGAAAGCCACCAGTTCACTCAACTGCACCATCATCAGAGCAAAGGTAACGTCTATCTCACACCTCTGCACTTCACTACACACACACAAACACTCACACCTGTGCGTGACTCACACACACTCAAAACCTGCAGGTGATTTACCCTTTAGCTGTTTGTTTTATTTCAGCAGGGCTCCAACACACCATTGTTTCTTTATGCTTTTTATTCAGCAGCCTGGTCAAGTAAATCATTGTGTGTTATTTTTTTATTTAGGGTTTGAAACCCATGGATTTTAATGGCCTGGCTGACCCTTATGTCAAACTTCATCTTCTACCAGGAGCATGCAAGGTGGGCAAGCTTAGATCTTGTTTTGTGCCAATTAAAACTTTTAATGCATAAGTTTTAATGAGGCATTTTAAAAATTCATGATGTTTTATTTTGTCCAAACAACTATTCTCTTTGATAGCCTAAGCTCATTATACACTTTCTGGCCAAATATATTTTGACATCTGAACACTAAATCCATATGTGCGTATAAAAAGACTCAGTTAGTTGGTTGGTTGGTTGGTTGGTTGGCCGGCTGAAAGACTGCTGACTGGTTTGTTGGTTGACTGACTGACTGACTGACTGACAGACTGACTGGTTGGTTGGTTGGTTGGTTGACTGAATAACTGACTGACTGACTGACTGACTGGTTGGTTGGTTGACTGAATGACTGACTGACTGACTGGTTGATTGGTTGATTGGTTGACTGACTGACTGGTTGGTTAGTTGGTCGGTTGACTGACTGACTGACTAACTGACTGGTTAGTTGACAGACTGACTGACTGGTTGATTGGTTGACTGACTGACTGACTGAATTATTAGTTGGTTGACTGACTGACTGATTGACTGGCTGACTGACTGACTGACTGACTGACTGGTTGGTTGGTTGACTGACTGACTGACTGACTAACTGACTGGTTGGTTGGTTGACAGACTGACTGACTGACTGATTGGTTGTTTGGTTGATTGGTTGATTGGTTGATTGGTTGACTGACTGACTGGTTGGTTGGTTAGTTGGTTGGTCGGTTGACTGACTGACTGACTGACTAACTGTCATGTTGGTTGGTTGACAGAATGACTGACTGGTTGGTTGGTTGACTGACTGACTGACTGACTAACTGACTGGTTGGTTGGTTGACAGACTGACTGATTGACTGACTGACTGACTGTCTGACTGACTGTCTGACTGACTGGTCGGTTGGTTGACTGACTCACTGACTAACTAACTGAGTGGTTGGTTGACTGATTAATTGACTGATTAATTGACTGCAATTACCTATTACCATACCAACAAAGCATATTGCACTGTTTAGCTCAAAGGCATTTTTATATATTTCCATGGTTACGCTGGCTAATATGTGCATTGCTGTGTGTATCAGGTCGCATGATTTCAGGTGACAGGGGGCAGATCTAATAGCCTCAGCAGCAGAATTCATTCATATAGTTAAAGGTTATTCTACCACAGATATAATTTTAGAGACATTATTTTAAGGTCGAAAAACATACAGAGCGCTGCTTTAACTATATATATATAACAATGTCATTAGCTATGTTTATTCTCCTATTTTTATGTACATTTTGGAATATTGCTTAAAAATGGTTAATAGAAACACCAAGATGCACATAAAATTTGAAAATGTGCATTAAAATGTGCACAACTGGATAGGATAAACTCTTCTAATAAGATAAAATATAACTGTCATAATTAGTTTTTCCCTAAAACAAGCTAAATTATCTGCCATTAGGACAAAAAATGTATTTTAAACCAAATACAAGACTATTTTGACTATGTTGGAAACACATTCACTGAATAAATTCCAGGATGAGCATCAAAACGTTAGTTGTGATTTGATGGCCTTATTGGACAAAGTAGTGGACTGACCACATTGAAAAACATCTGAAATGCTGTTTTGGTCATTCTAAAATCCCTCAGCTAAAGTCTATCATCAAAGATGTTCAATATTTTTACCTCCAGAACTGTCTTAGGCAACTGTGCTCCAAAGAGCATCTCACATCTCCAAAAGCCACAGTGTTTTCATTGTGTTTGAGTTTTTCCTCTGACACACAAGTAATTTATTATATGACAAAAAAGGTCCACACAAGTTTTGCACACAACTTTAATTTGCATCTTTGTATGAAAACGTACACTACCTGACAAAAGTCTTGTCGTCAATCCCAGTTGTAAGAGCAACAACTAACAACTTGACTTCTGGTTGATCATTTGGAAAAGTGGCAGAAGGTGGATTTTTCAGATGAATCATCTGTTGAGCTGCATCCCAATCATCACAAATACTGCAGAAGACTTATTGGAACCCGCATGGACCCAAGATTCTCATAGAAATCAGTCAAGTTTGGTGAAGGAAAAATCATGGTTTGGGGTTACATTCAGTATGGGGCCATGTGATGATCTGCTGAGTGGATGGCAACATCAACAGCCAGGGGTATCAAGAAATTTGTGCTGCCCATTACATTACCAACCACAGGAGAGGGAAAATTCTTCAGCAGGATAGCGCTCCTTCTCATACTTCAGCTTCCACATCAAAGTTCCTGAAAGCAAAGAAAGTCAAGGTGCTCCAGGATTGGCCAGCCCAGTCACCAGACATGAACATTATTGAGTATGTCTGGGGTAAGATGAAGGAGGAGGCATTGTAGATGAATCCAAAGAATCTTGATGATCTCCAGGGAGTCCTGGGAGTCCTGCAAGATCGCTTTCTTTGCCAATCCAGTTGACTTCATTAATAAGTGATTTGAGTTGCTTTCTTTGCCAATCCAAGTGCAGAGATGTGTGGATGCAGTCCTTTAAGCTTATGAGAGTCAGACATAATATTAATTGCAGCGTGACTTTATATTCTGTACTGTACATTATTTCTGTTAAGTGACAAGACTTTTGTCTAAGCAAAGTCAGACCTTACTGTCCCAATTATATAATTAAAGCTATTAAGCCACTTTCGATACCAAAGGATCAGCTAGAAGGCAAGTTATTATTTGTTTTGTCCTAAAACTTGGATAGGTGACAAGTCTTTTGTCAGGTAGTGTAGCTAGTGTTGTTTTAAATTAGACCAGTGGTGGTTTGAAGTACTGTAAATGTAACCACATAAATTTTGAAAAGCTGTTTCATTGGAAAAAAAAACACGTAATTTTGGTTCTTCATGACATATTACCAGTTTGTTCTTCAATTTTACTAAAAGTATATTAAAACCTTAGTTTGCGCTCCTCTTTGTAGATTGTGTGGGGCATTATGGAAATGAGCTGCTGCAGCTGTGTACTATATTTATATATCTTTGCATTACCATTATCACCCAGAGAACTTTGGACACCCATTGACACTTTTATGGCAGTACAGTCTCACCCTATTTAGTAAAGCAGGCCCCTAATCTCAAAACGAGGAGAATTAATAAGGAACTGGTCTTCCCTAACAGCTTCCCGCTTTTCATCATGGCAGACTCTCAAGCAGAAGTTGGAGCGAGTAGACATTCAGAGACAAAAGCGTCAGAGAGGCATTGATGTTGGGTGATGGGGCCTGACTCACAGTCGGCGTTCCAGTTCATCCCAGTAGAGTTCAATGGGATTCGCATCTAGCCTTTGTGGATGTCACATTTTTCTACACCATTTCATTATAGGACTTGCTTTGTGCACAGCATTATCACACAGCAACAGAAAAGCTCGCTCGCCAAACTGTCCGAAAAATGGTCTCTAGTGGTGTTAAGAAGTCTAGCCAATAACAGAAATTAGCATGAATGTGATGTCCAAGTATTTTTTGGCCCTATTGTTTTTTATTTTTAACAAATGAATTAGAAATAACCCCATCTGACAAAGTGGTGACGTGCTGGAATTATTTTCAAAAATATTTTTATTGAATGTTTTTAGTGCAAAAACATGTCAGAAATTTACATTGAATAATAAAATAACATTCATCGTTTATGTAATTTGAATCATGGCCCCACATGAAAAAGTATAATAAAAATAATAATAAAAATAAAATACATTTGTAATAAAATAAACTAATAAATAAATAAAAAGGACATAGACTACACAATTATTTTACAAAAAGGCTGATTACACTTCTTTTGACTTAGATAATCAAAGGATTCCAGGTTTGATAAAATAGGAAAGGTTTGTTCTTCATAGCTGTGGAGAAAGCCTCAAGTGGGATTATGTTGCAGACTGCAAGCAGCCATTGATTTAAACTGGGGGGTTCTTCATTAATCGACGTTACAAAGATACATTTCCAAGCAAAGTAAACCAAAATATGTAGATAATATTCGAAAAAATTACAAGGTATATCATTAAGACCCAGTCCTTGCTCCAAATCAAAATATACATTTAAAGATGGAGTTAAAATGCAGCCTAATCAAGTCCCAGAACTGCTGTATAAGAGGACAACTCCACATACAATGATAGAAAGAATTAATGTCCGATTTACATTTGTCAAACAGGTCAGACAGACCTGGATTCCTTTTATGTCTAACTTCAAATGTAACAAACAGTCTATATAAAATTTTTAATGGTCTTTTACGGGCAGAAATTTGAACTACTTTAATCCCAGAAGAAACAAATAGTTTTATAACATTTATAATAGAATAGAAAAAATTATTCGCCCTCCTGTGAAATTGTATTTTCAAATATTTCTCAAGGGATGTTTAACAGCCTGGAATCTTTTCACAGCATGTCCAGTCATATTTTTCTTATGGAGAAAGTCTTATTTCTGATTATGTCTTATAATTATTTTATTAATATTCCTTTTTTTGGTTTGGCTACAGAACAAACCAATGTTATTCAATGACTTGCCTAATTAAACTAACTTACAAAGTTACCTTATTAACCTAGTTAAGCCTTTAAACCATACTTTAATCTAAATTCTAAAGTATACAATATTATTTGCTGTCATCATGGCAAAGACAAAATAAATGTGTCATTCGATATTAGTTATTCAAACTATTCTTTAAAAAATGTTTTGAAAAGAATCTTCTCTCTGTTAAACATCACTTTTGTTTTCAACTGTTAATTTCATTGACAATTTTTTTTATCATAATTTTTGTGAAGAACAAGTTTCTATCAACAAAAACAAGTCGAAGGGAAGTTTTACAAACAAAGTTTGATAGGAACATGCTATATGATTGATCACGGCTGGCCTCTCATCCGTAATCAGCAATTATCCAATCAGATTGATTCAAGCTTACAATAAATAAACCGATTTTGCCCTACTACCTTATCTTCATTTTGGAAGAATCCACCCCATCTCCTCCTTTTCCTCACTTTACCTGGGGGAGCTCTTGAAACTGTTTGACAGACTGGTCTAAAAGACCACGTTGAGGGTGTGCTAAATAATTGCAAAAGTCTAAAAGTATATGGATGCAGCCTTTATGATGCAGGCTGAGATTGCATGTCTCAGCGATGCAATGTCAGACACAATGAAATCAACGGAGCTAGTAACATCACTGTGAGTGGTAGAGTTATGTGAGGGGTTTGTAGGGGTTAGGGGTGGGGTTAGGTGAGCCCATTAAAAAGCATTAAATGCATTTCAGATTGCATCTGGACCAGGTCTGCATCCAGGCCCCTCTTCAAAATTCTGTGTTTCAATAGGCTACTATTCTCCGTGGATTAATTGCTGATACATAATTTTACATATTACTTATAATACAAAAAAAAAATCCTTTTATAATTTTTGTTCTTCAATGCAAAAGCTATACTCCATATTTTAATATTTAATTTTAAGTTAGAATATTTTGTATAAATAAATGTATACAGTGTTTTATTTAAATTACACTTAAACCAAATAATTTTTAATCAACTCGATCTAAAGTAGATTTAGTCGACTAAAATCTTACAAAATTTAGACTAAAACTATGATTCAGAAGACTAAAATATGACTAAAACTAAATCAAAATGAATAACAATGCATTTAAAATGTTATGTATTGTTATCATTAAAATACTGAATATTAATCAGAAATCATTCTAATATCCCAATCTGATGCTCAAAAAAATACTTACTATTATCATTACCATTAAAAACAGATTTACTCAATACTTCTTTTGGATTTTTCTTTGATGACTATAAAATATAGCATTTGAAATCTTTTATATGATCAGAAACATCTTTAATCCCACATCTGATCAATGCAATGCACACTTGCTGAATAAACAAACAAAAAAATCCTGACCCCAAACCTTTGAAAAGACGTTCATGTACATCAGAGGATTAAGATATTGCATCCTCCCTCTCATATATATTGCTTTTGTGTGTGTTTGTTTTGTACCCACAGGCCAATAAACTGAAAACCAAAACAGTACGTAATTCTCTAAATCCTGTTTGGAATGAGACGCTCACTTACGTTGGCATCACAGAGGAGGATATGCACAGGAAGACTCTGAGGTTAGTGAAGACATCTGTGCGCCCTCCAATCCGTCTTTCTTTCAGAGCGGGTTGTAAATCTTTTCTGGAAATGTCTTCAAAAAATCTCTTCTCTCTGGGAGCAGTGATTTGACAGGAGCCTGCATATCTTGCTTCGACAGTAGGTGTGTAGGTGTGTGACAGTGTGTGACTGCCTTGCAAACCTTCCTGTCACTTATGCGCTGCATAAAAATATGGAGTTTCTTACTTAGAGATTTTGTCTTCTTTCTAGTACAGATATCTAAACCGTACGGTGGCCAGGAGAGCTTAACGTGCTGCAACTTAAGAAAACACCGAAAATTAAGAAAGCATCTTCATCGGTTTGACAGCACGCATGGTGCAAAATCCTCACAATGCAAACACAAATAGAAAATGAGCTGCAAATCCACAACACATGCAAATAGCACAGACGTCAAAGGAGTTAACTGAAAAAAGTGAAGCTTATTGTGACGCTTATACTTTTAACTCTCAATAAATGCAATGTATTTAAATTAGGGATGTAACGGTATCAGAATTTCACGGTACGGTAATACCTCGGTATGAATGGCACGGTACGGTATTTATTGAATAATTTACAAGAAAAACTAAACTAATGAAAAGACTCGAAAAAAGTGCCAAAAGTGTTTATTTACCTTAGCACTGAACATATCAATGACATACAAATTAGCCATCTATCTGTAAGTTCCGAAACAGGAACTTAAATTTTTCAATTTTAATAACAAAAAACTATTAAACCATATATATAAAAAAATAAAGTTTCAATTTAGTATTGTTGAAAACTCATCACATTCAAGAGATGTTTTTTTAAAGGAAAATTATCATATAACTATAATCTGGTAAAAGCTGGGATCTCTGGGCATGTCCCCTGCAACAGAAAAAAAACCCCTCTCATTTGGGACTGAGGTTTCTGGGACAGAGAGATATGATTTAGCCAAGGTTGACAGCAGTGGGTAATGTTGTGCATTGTCTTTCCACCACTGTCACCGACTCGGTCCCAGTAACTCCCCTCGCTGGCCAGCAGAGGCCACCATCTCCGGACTTTTAGCATTACGTCATCCATCTACACTGATTGCGCATACACCTGATTGGAATCTGGCTAATGACCCACATACCTCTTATAAGCCGCACTCTAACACTCGTGCAGTGCGAAGTCTTGTTTAGCCCCGGCCAGCATTTCTGAGCGTTATCTCCAGCCTGATCTCCTGTGCACGACTCCAGCCTGTCTCTTACTCTGCTTCGCCTTCTGCCTGCCCACGACCCACGCTTGTTACACGGACCCTGACTCTCTCTCTGCCTGCCCACGAACCACACCTGTTATACGGACTCTCATCCTCGCTGCCTGCCCTTGACCCAAGCCTGCTTAACGGATCCTGATTCTCGCTCTCTCCCTTCTACTCATGCCTGGTAACTCACTCTGTGTCTGTTCATGTGTGTGTGCACTCCGGTGCATATTGTGTGTTTGAGTGAAGTTGTGATTAATAAATACTGCATAATGGATCCCTCCGTGTCAGTCTCCTCGTTACAACCACTTGAGAGGACAAGCCATGAGTGAGCTAGAGGTCTTTTTGCGGTACAAGTCAGTAGCCCCTTTCACACATACAGACCTTTCCGGATATTTACCGGTATCACTGTGTGAAAGGGACTAATGTCTGCATCAATCTAACAAGTGTGCTGTGTTCTGCAGTCCCCATGACTGTTTTTAGTCGTATTCCCCGACTTATATTTCACCACAGTCTGGCAGTGCCTGCATACTGTTTTTTTCTTTGTCTGTCACCTTTTCTCCTTTTTCGTATCTTTTTTAGAAAGAAACTGAAATGCTTCCACACATCCGATTTAAAACTCGCTTTAGGTTCGATCATTTCCAGCTCTTTTTCTTCCCCGCTACTAGCAACACACTCCATTTCCTCATTACTGGAGAGCAACAACAGACCGCAAAGGATGATAGCCATGCCTAGGCTGATGGGAATTGTAGTTCCCGCTACCTCCCGTTCGCTTCATTTGCCTAAGCAAACTTTTCTCAGAAATATAGTTTTATTGAGTCATGCGCCTACGGTAATATTGAAAAAAATTACTATTGCAGTATGACGGTATTTACAATATTGTTACATCCCTAATTTAAATGCTTCTCTTTAATTCGTCTATTGTGTATACTGTAAAAATGCTGAGTTCCACACAATTCCTTCATGTTGTCCCAACACAAATTGATTAAGTTAACTTTATCCTTTTTACAGATATGTGGATTGAACTTAAAACAATTAGGTTGTCTAAAAAAACAGAAGTATTGTGTTGTTTCAACTCATTTTTTTAATAAGTACAAGCAGCAAAAGTCATCTTTTTGAGTGTACAGTACATACAGTAGATGTCATGTTTCGGTCTCGGCATGGCGAAGACAAGGGAGGTAGGATCCAAGTGCAACTTAATAATAATTTATTAAAGAAAGTATTCGTGGAGGTAAACATAAACAAAAAATAGGAAAAATCAAGAATCAAACAGTGCAATCTAAAATCATAGTCAAAACAGTCATTAGGTCATAAACAAGGCATCGATCCAAAAGTACAAACAACAAACTTAGACTAAGGCAAAAACACAGAGACCGGAAATATACATGATGGGAGACAACAAACTCACTGCAGACTGATGTGTGTAGGGTGTATATATAGTCCGGATAATCAGTAACGAGAGTTGGCTGTGCATGTGTGATCAGTGGAGAATGGTCACCGGTGTGTGTAAAGGCATGCAGGAATTTGTAGTTCACCAACGATCTTCCAAGAAGTGATCGCTGATGAAAAGGTATTAAAAAAGTCTGAATTGCATCTTCACATGTTGCGAAACAATAGAGCGAAACAGACAGCAATATGGGAAAATGTAAGTTTGCATACTCCTGGTTAAAGAAAGACGAATTTAAACAGTGACTGAAGCCTGTCGCTGAAAACAACCGTGTAATTTATTCTTTCAAGCTTTGTTTCTTCTAAGCTTATCTGAGTTCTGTTGCATGGTTGTGCTCCATTGATTTATTTACTACAACTGTTTATTAACAACTGTTTACTAAAGGTTTGATACTGATTACAACTTGAAGTGGCAATGAGATCTTAAAAAATTCTGAGAAGGTCTTTAAAAAGTGTTAAAAAGGTTTTGAAGTTACCTTTAGGATTCTTACATATACCCTGTTATCGTAGAAAAGTAAAAGTAACTATTTTTCTCTTGTTTTCAGACTCAAAAATCTGAATTAAGTAATATTTTCATTAAATCAAGCAAAACAGTCTAGCAGTGGAGCAAGTAGACTGACACTCAACTTTATTATCCCGTTTAGCAGGGGTGAATTTAGTGATCTTGGGGCCCTGAGCAACTCCAGCCATGGGGCCCAACTCCTGAAATGCACCCTTTCTAATTTTATTTAATTTCATTTAAATTGCTGTTCCTGTTCCTGGAGAGCCACCTTCCTGCAGATTTCACTTGCTACGCATATCAAACACACCTGAACCAATTAATTAGGACCTGAACACCACGTGATAATTACAGGCAGGTGTGTTTGATATGGGTTGCAACTGAAATCTGCAGGAAGGTGGCTCTCCAGGAACAGGGTTGGCCACCCCTGATCTCCTTTTTTAATGATTAGTTTTCTTAAAATTTATTTACAACTAAAAATAATTTTTAAAATTGTTGAAATTTGACTGCTAGACTGCTCCATGATGGATATTATATTTAGTAATATTATTATTATTACATAACATTACATTATTACAATAATATTAAATTTGAGTGTATACTAAACAATACTTAATTATGTTAAAAATGTATTTGTTTGACTCTCACTATACAAAATATGGTAGAAAATGATGTTATACATAGTTTATAGGTATAATTTCTACTAGATATTTATTGTGGGCACCCAATAAATACCTAGCTTATTGGATAAATCCGCTTCTGCTTTTTAGGGAAACTAAAATTGCAGTAAGTTGCCATAACACAGGCGAAGTTCCATGCACACATTACCAAAATATTACCATACAACATACAATACATATACAAAATAGTAATATAATATTTGCTTGTTCCGCTTGCAGATCATTTTCCTTGTTTATTATTTTTTTAACATATTATTTTTGAAAATAATATACATCTTACTAATTTAGAGAATGCAATTTGATCTTTAGATATTTAGACTAGACCCAAGACAAGAACTCCAAGTATGAAAAGCATTTTGCAGTGTGAATCTTCAGGAATGGTTCAGTTTCTGTTGTGCATAACCTGGAATATATTTAGCCTGGATATTTCTGCCATGCTAAAAGATGCTCTCCAGCCTCATCATCTCCAAGACTCATCACGAGAGCTGGAGTGACTGCTGTTGCTCTCAAGTTTATTCTGTGATTATCCACAGAAAATTACCTGTGTGCTCATGTTATAAATGAACAGTCTCCCCTGGCAACCTTGGACCGGTACTGCTGGTGTTTTCAAATGTGCCCTTTTTTTTTCTCCTCATGGCGGGGTGACAGCAGTCAGAGAAAAGTCATTTGGCTGTTTATCTCCTAGGAAGTGTATACAGAAGCAGAGGAGGGTGTGCAAATACGCAAGCAAAGCTTTGGAGGAGAGAAAAAAAAAAGAGCAGCCGCTTACTTCCGACCAAACTGACGGAGCCAGAAATATCACCCTAATCCCATTCATAAATATACATTTCTGTCTGAGCCGTTTCCAGCTCTTGCCGCTCTGAGGATGGCATTTCCATTGGCTTATTTTTTTATCACGTTCGCCCATACTACAGTTACAACTTTCATGTTTATCTTTCCTCCCCTGCCAGTGTAATTGAATAACTCTCAACGTCTTTTTTCATGTTGTTTCTCAGATTATCGGTGTGCGATGAAGATAAACTGACTCATAATGAGTTTATTGGAGAGTCCAGAGTGGCCCTACGACGTGTGAAACCGGACCAGACCAAACGTTTCTACACCTGTCTAGAACATCCACCACCTGTAAGACACTCATAAACACACGTTTAGCTTGAGCTGTTGCACTGGAGGAAAATCGCTGGCAATTAAACATTAGCAAAAGAGGTTAATGTGTTTTATTTAAAGGTGTATATGGTTTATTTCAAGGATTAGCAATTTTTCACAAATTATATTCATATTTGAAAGCACCAAAACAAACACGGCCATAACCAAAGAAGAGCACGCCCCTTTTTGATACCTGTAGACACGCCTCTTACTGCTGATGTAATTGATTGATTGACAGACTGCATTAATCCATTCCAATGCTCTATTTTTTCGTTGTTTTTCTATGTACATTTACATTACATTACATTTACATTTAGTCATTTAGCAGACGCTTTTATCCAAAGCGACTTACAAATGAGGACAAGGAAGCAATTTACACAACTATAAGAGCAACAATGAATAAGTGCTGTAGGCAAGTTTCAGGTGTGTAAAGTATAAGAAGGAAAGTATTGGTAATTTTTTTTTTTTTTTTTTGTAGTTAGTTGAGGATTCAGAGAGGGAATTGCATATTAGTAAGGGAAGTGCATATTAGTAAGGGAAGTGGAGACTAAATAGTTGAGTTTTTAGTCACTTTTTGAAGACAGCGAGTGACTGCCGTTTCGATGCAGTTAGGGAGTTCATTCCACCAACTGGGCAGATTGAGTGCGAGCGTTCGGGAAAGCGTTTTCTTCCTCTTTGGGATGGAACCACGAGGCGACGTTCATTCACAATGTAAACATGTGAACATGTGACCTTTACGCACTCTTCTTTGCACATGAGCTCCATTAACATAGACTGACCACATTGTAAAACATCTGGGGCCTCATGTATCAACGCTGCGTACGCACAAAAACTTTGCGTACGCCAGGTTTCACGCTCAGAATCGCTCACGTTTGGATTTACTAACAATGAACTGAACGTGGGAATTTGCGCAGGTTCACGGCAGGTTTCTGGCAGGCGTACGCACATTTTTTGTGCGTGTCTGTTTTATTTCCATTGGCGACTCCTAGAGGCAGTTGTGTTAAATTCTTCTCTACAAAGTGTCTGATCCTTGCAATGGCGTCTGTATGAGACGGGTTCATATAGTAGGTATGTAAGAATTCCATACCATACAGTTGACCAGCTAAACATTAAAGCACAATTTGCAGCGGTCGCCTGTTTTCCCAATGTAATCTGAGCTATCTACTGCACGCACATTGCTATAAAGACACTATGTGAAGATAAATTTGCATGCGTGAATCAGAAACATTTCCATTCAATAAATGTGCAAATAAAATATGATGCACAAACTTATTGATGATTCCTACTTGTCTTTCTCGTGATAAATAGTGGGCAAAATCTGATATGTAGCGGGGAAAAAAAAGAAGAATGAATTCATCAGACGCTGGATTCGAGCCGAGTTATGCTCGAACGTGTCAGTACATGATCATATGCTTCTTATGAGGTGCGCCACTGAGACTGCGAAGGGTACTGCAACATTTTACAAATATAAACCACACTAATTCTTTTTTAAATGCACTCAGTGCGATGTTCAGACCCAACTGTGTTAACCGTATCAGCTAAACTCTCCCACTCTATTTTTTTTCTTTTGTTGTTAATTCCGCCGAACAAACTTGCAAATAACACCGCTTTTCTCCAGTCTACCTCCGAAAGCAGCACCTCCATTTCACATTCTGTTCAAAGTTTCTCTTTTTGCTTGCTTTTGCCATTGCTTTTTCGTTGGGTTTTTACATTAGCATAGTCATTAGCATATTCATACGGGGGAGGAGGCAGGGAGGGGTTTTGTGCTCGTGCATGTTGCGCTCAGTTTCACGTTCATTCAGATGTACAAAAGAATATGCGTGAGATTCGGCGTACGCAGTGTTTCATACATCTGAATTTTTTTCTGCGTACGCACATTTACAGCTTTGTGCGTACGCAATGTTTTAGTAAGATTTCCACGCAAGTCTTCGTACATGAGGCCCCTGAAATGTTGTTTTGGTCTTTCTAAAATCCCTCAGCCAAAGTCCATCATCAAAGATTTTCAGTATTATTACCTCCAAAACTGTCTAGAGCGAAAAAAAGATGCTCCTACTGCATTCATTCATTCACATTCCTTCGGCTTAGTTTCTTTATTCAACTTGGGTTACCACAGCGGAATGAACCGCCAACTTATCCAGCATATGTTTTACACAGCGAATGGCCTTCTAACTGCAGCCTGGTACTGGAAATCTCCTACTGCAGCAAACAAATGTTTCTGTTTGATATTTGGTGCAAGTTTAGAATATGGTCCAATTTCACATTTATTGCTGATTGTGATTTAGAAGACATAATTTAACCCCTTCAATGTCAAACTAATAGATCATTCCATTCACATTGGAAGTCCCAATTACACGTAACATTTTTACATTTTCTTCAAGCCAAAGTTTTAAGGTATGGCCATTTCAATAGGTATTAGATCTAACTTGTGTATTCTGTGCATTCATCTACATTTACATTTAAAATAATACTAGATATGTTACATACACAACATATATAGAAGTAAAAATATGATAGAATGTAAAACTGAAGCATTTACAACATCTTTGTGAATTAATCTGAGGCACATTCTGTATTCACCATCTTGAAGGAGTTGAAAACAAAATGAAGCCAATAGAATTGACTTAACTGATACTAACATCCATATAAGAGGGAATTGGGAAGAATTACAGTCGTAGGTACAATCATTACTGTTAATAAGAGTTTTAGCTCAATGAACTTCTATTTCTTTATTACGGGGACAATTATTGCTATTTATAAACCATTAACCAAGACTTTTAGCTCAATAAATCTATAATTTTTAATTACGGGTACAATTTCTGCTATTAATAAACCATTAACTAAGACCTTCAGCTCAATAAACTTCTATTTTTTACAGTCACATGTACAATTACTGCTATTTATAAACTATTAACTAAGACTGTCAGCTCACTACACTGAATTTTTTGTCACAGGTACAATTATTGCTATTTATAAACTATCAACTAAGACTTTCAGCTCAGTAAACTTTTAGTTTTTAGTCACAGGTACAATTATTGCTAATTACAAACCATTAACTAAGACTTTTAGCTTAATAAACTTATAATTTCTACAGTCACAGATACAATTATTGCTAATTAAAAACCATTAACAAAGACTTTTAGCTTAACAAACTTTTATTTTTTACAGTCACGGGTACAATTATTGCTATTTATAAACCATTAACTAAAACTTTCAGCTCAATAAACTTTTAATTTTTAGTCACGGGTACAATTATTGTAGTTTATAAACCACTAACTAAGACTTTAAGCTTTATAAACTTCTATTTTTTACAGTACAACTATTGCTATTTATAAACTATTAACCATGACTTTCAGCTCAATAAACTGAATTTTTAGTCACAGGTGAACTTCTATTTTTTTATTACGGGTACAATTATTGCTATTTATAAACCATTAACCAAGACTTTTAGCTCAATAAACTTCTCATTTTTTGTCACTGGTACAATTATTGCTATTTATAAACCTTTAACCAAGACTTTTAGCTCAATAAACTTCTCATTTATTGACGGGTACAATTATTGCCATTTATAAACCATTAATTAAGACCTTCAGCTCAATAAACTTCTATGTTTTACAGTCACAGGTACAATTATTGCTAATAATAAACCAAAAACTAAGACCTTCAGCTCAATAAACTTCTATTTTTTTACAGTACAATTATTGTTATTTATAAACTATTAACCAAGACGTTCAGCTCAATAAGCTGAATTTTTAGTCACGGGTACAAATATTGCTATTTATAAACCATTAACTATAACTTTCAGCTCGTTAAACTTCTAATTTGTTGCTTAATAATAGTTAGAAAGGTAGTAGTTGGGTTTAGGATTAGAGATGTAGAGTAAGATAATGCAGAATTTGTACTTTTTAAATACTAATACACAGCAAATATCGTAATAACATGCAGATAACATGCCACTATAGTGAGAATTGGTCCCTATACTAAAGTGTTTCTGATTTTACACTCAATTTAGTGTTTGCATAAGAGCTGCTTCCATCAGTTTGCATTCTGGGCATGACCCAAACGCTGTGCGCACCCTTAGCTAAAAATAAAAGCCATTCCAAATTGCTGTTGGTTAATTTAGAAGTGATGGATGAACTTGCACCTCGACTGGACATGTTTATTAAGTAACTTGTCAATTGCAATAAGACCTTCCACAGTTATGAACGCCGCTGTCTTTGGTGTTTACTTTAATCAGCGTTAAGAAGTCATATTATGGCAAAGCTCAGAAACGGAGCTTGATTTTTGCTTGTTTGTTCATTCAGACGTTCATCCAGCTCTTTTCAAGGCAATCTGATATCGATCTTAAACACAGACTGAAAACTAACACTGAAATGAAATGGATCAACTTTAATGAATCAATTCAACTTGTTACACATGAAGGAATTATGTTTTTTAAACATAATTTATTAATGTAAAGTAGGGCTGGTAAATATGACGATATTTATTTCAGATTTCTCTACCATTTATTTATATATATTTATATTTATTTAATTCATTATTACACTGTAAAAATTACTAGTTGCCTTAATTTTTTAAGCTGAATCAAATTAACCTTATGAGTCCACTGAACTTATATCATGTTAAACCGGCTTAAAACAGCTTGCATAGATTATAAAATTAAGTTAGAACTTGATTAACCTAATTTAATAAGTTGCAATGGCCTGTCAGAACTAATTTATCATATATTTTTTACAGTGTATTTATTAATAAAATGCATTACTTTTGGTAATATATTTTCATCATTTAGATGAGCACAATCTTACATGGCAACATGAGGATGTAGACAGAAACATGAAAAACAGTATGGCGACAAAGCTACGAGTTCGATAGTACATCTTGATTTTTATTTAGCAATATTTTATATTGGGCCTGTAATTAGTTTTTAAAAAGTATTTTATTAATATTTGTTTTAGATTTCTATCATTTTAATCAAACATTCAGTTCTTAATACATTTAACTGCCCAAGTTAAGATAAATAAAATGATCAATTTGGTTATTGAATAAACTTACAATAATCACAAGTTATATTTCTTAAATGGATAAACTATATGACTAAAAAACAGAAAGAAAGAAAAGAACACCTCAACCCTCAACTTTTTAGTTACAATGCTTTGGAAAAGAATTAAGTGACAGAAGAAAGGCCTTAAATCGTGTGAAATTGTCCAATGTTGCCTTTCAAAAAAATATTTTTTTTTCCAAGTACAGATGTAGATCAATTCTTCAAGTCATACTGGAGTTTGTTTGCTATTCAGTATTTCCTTTTAACTTTTATTTCACATATAATAAAGCATAATATACTTAACAAATAAAGCCATTGCTTTGCTGTTATTAAATTATATATTTTGTTTTCTTCTTTTTGGCTTTGTCCCTTTATTATTCAGGCGTCACCACAGCGAAATGCACTGCCAACTTATCCAGCATATGTTTTATATGGTACTAGTAGAAGCCTGTCCAGTCGCAACTTAACACTGGGAAACACCCATACACTAATGCATTCACACACATACACAATGGTCAATTTAGCTTTTTCAATTCATCTTATTCAATTCTGCATGTCTTTGGACTGTGGGGGAAACAGGAGCACCTGGAGGAAACCCACTCCAACACATGGAGAACATGCAAACTCCACACAGAAATGCCAACTGGCCCAGCCGGACTCGAACCAGCGACCTTCTTGCTGTAAGGCGATCGTGCTACCCACTGCGCCACTTATTCATTTTGCTACCCAAAAAAAAAAATAAATGACTCACTAAAGTGCATTCGATTTCTTTTATTGTTCAAGAGATTTTAGCCTAAACCAACCAATAGTTTTGGCAGCACTTGACCCATGGTGCTATTGAATTTCTGATGTGTCTGTGTTCATGTAGTGGTTGTGTCATGTGACGTCCCATGTGTTTGGTCCATGTGCTTCTGCTTGTGTCATGTGTTTCGTTTGTTCTGTTTTCCCGCCGTTCGTTAATGTTTATTAGTTCCACCTGTTGTTACACTGCTGTTTGTAATCTGTTCAATCTTGTCCTATGTATTTATGCCGCTGAGTTTGTTTAGTCCTTTCTCTGGTATTGTATTGTCAAACTCCATGTGCTCACTGCGGTTAATGTTCTTGTTCCTGTTGTAAGTGCTTTTTGTTAATAAATACGTGTTTTTTGGATAATTCCTGTGATCTGTCACAGGAGGCTCACTCACAAATGCACAGGTGCACCCCAATTCTGAAATTTTGTACATATTAAACGCAGGTCTGATATTTTGTACAGATTATATTTATTTTTTTGCAAATATTTTATGATTTAGCTTTGAGAAATGTTGGATTGTTCAAGCTTTATTGCTGCTATGTAGATAGCTTTAAATTAATTGAAAATCGCTTGATAAATATCGGTGACCGATACATCAGTGCATCCCTACATTAAATGCTAAAGAAAATAGTGCTTTCCATGCGGTCAATATTTATAAACTATAAATTGATTGAACGGTGGCATGGTGGCTAAGTGGTTTGCAATGTTGCCTCACAGCAAGAAGGTTGCTGGTTCGAGCCCTGGCTGTGTCAGTGTGCATTTCTGTGTGGAGTTTGCATGTTCTCCTTGTGTTTGCGAGGGTGTGCTCTGGTTTCCCCCCACAGTCCAAATAAGACATACGCTATAAGTGAATTGAATAAACTAAATTGGCCGTAGTGTATGTGTGTGTGTGTGTAAATAAGTGTGTATTTGTGTTTCCCAATGCTGGGTTGCAGCTGAAAGGGCATCCACTGTGTAAAACATATGCTGGAATAGTTGGTGGTTCATTCTACTGTGGAGAAGTCTGAAATAGAGACTAAGCTGAAGGAAAGTAAATGAATGATGAATAATTGATTGAATTTACAGAGAAGGTTCTATATCATGAGATACATCATTATCAGGATACAATGACTTGTATTGAGATATGAGCTTTGTAATAAATTAAGAAAAAATGTGAAGGTAGCTCATGAAAATGTACTACTTACTCACCCTCAAGTGGTTTCTTTTGTTTTTATTTAACACAAAGGAAGGTATTTAGAAAAATGCTAGAAACTTGTAACCATTGACTTTTATAATATAAAAAACAAATATTATGGAAGTCAATGGTTACCAGTTTCCAACATATTTCAAAATATCTTCCTTTTTATGCTCAACAAATGAAAGAGCCAGATGGGTGTGTTTGCGAAACCATCGTTTGCTGACTAAAGTTGCAAGTTCTGTCGTTACAAACTTAGTTCGTTGATTTGGGATTTCCCAAATCCATTGTTCCAATGAACACTTGCAAACTGCATCGCAAACTTGTACATTTGCAACTACACTTTTAGAGCTGTAGTTAGAAGCATAGTTCCTGGCTGTGTTCTATTCCCAGTTATCAACCATACACCCTATTAGTTTTGAACCTTCCAACACTTAAACTTGAAATAATTTTTTAAAAACAAAAACTTAGTCATCTCTCTTAGGTGTAATTTGCTTTCAAAGGATTATTTATAGTTAGTTCAGCAAGTTTTAGTTTTAGCGATCTTCATATTGACCTTTGCATTCCCTTCGCAGTGCACTTTGAAAACAGTTATGCTATTTTGAACGCAGCCTGGGCTCATGATGAAAACTATACTGTAGGTGACTTATGATTAGGCCCACACGGAATCTGCACACCCAGAATTCCGCAGATTTTTAGCACATTATTAATTCTGTTTATTTACTTGAATAAATGTGTTTAAATCTTTATTTGTTCAGTTTTTAAATTAATTACAGTAATATTATTGACTAATATGAAAATGTATATCTGATTTATGCACAACGCAGTTTGTATATTTTCTGTCTTTTAGTAGAGATATTATATGAGACTTGTTTTGTTTACCAAATAAAGTGGATCTAATTGGGTTTGCATTTTAAACATTAAATAAAAGTTTAAAAGATATTTTTTTTCTTTCACATATTAAGGTTTTAGTTATGATATTCCCAAAATAATTCTGCAGAAATCCACAGATTTTTACCAAAATTCTCAGCAGAAATAGCAAAAAAACATTTGCAGATTCCGTCTGGCCCTACTTATGATTTAAAAGCCGAATTTACGATACGTCTCCAAAGTTTGTGAAAACAAAAATTTATAGCATAAGCTTTTTCAATGTTTTTAGTTTAAAGTAGGCTATTTATTAAGAAATGAACCTGTATTGTAGGCCTATATGACACGGGCCTGTTCCAAAAAATTGTAAATAAAATAAAAAATAAATAAACAATATGCTATTTAATAACAATAAGAAGAAAAATGTATGATAATAAAAAGTTTTTTTCATTTCTTAATAAATAGCCTAGTGTAAATTAAAACCATTGATTATTTTTATGATTTATACTGTATATGAGTTGAGAATACACATTAGCTAAGTGATTTTATGTTTTGGAATAGAATATTTAATGTTCTCAATAATATTTGTAAAGGAAACATTGGCCCTATATGTGTTGTTTACATATATTTAATTAATATGGAAAGCGAGTGCATGTTTTTACCAAAACTAATATTGTATAACTATATACTCTATAATTATAAACTATATTATTTGCATAAAAAATAACAGGGTTTTTCTTTAAAGAAGTTGTTACTCCACCCTGTTTGAGTATCATTATGGATGTTTCATGTTGAAATGTGATTCAAATGATGGATCTGCGACAAAGCAACTACGGTTTTGGGAAACACTCGTCACTACATCATTCTTTTCCCAATCAATGCATCGTACTATGAGAGTTCAGCCACGAGTTATGTCGTTGTTTGGAAAACACACTACTGGTTTGGAATAAGCAGAAGATGAGTAAATAATGACAGAATTGACAGTTTTGTGTATACTATCCCTTTAATTCACGCAATAATTGTGTAATTTTTACAGTGTATGAAAGTTGCTAATATCAAACACACACTCACACTTTGTCTTTTTTTTTCTTTTCTCTCTGTGTCTGCCAGCTTCCCTCTCCAACAGCAATGGGAGCAGCGCTGCGAGGGATCTCCTGTTACCTACGAGAGGTACTTTACCACCAAAAACACCTGTTTTCTCTTAGCGAAACAGCAATTAATAAAGCGCTGACATTTCCGGACGCGAGTCAAGATGACGTTTCAAATACTGCCGACGTATAATTGCCTGCTGATTAATGCTCTCGTACTCAAATGTTTTCATATTGGGCTTTAAACTCATTTGCATTTCAATAAGAACAGTGAGCACATTATGATAAGTGGGATGGAAGAAATCGATTAGCATTTTCATTACCAGCCCAAAATTGTTCTCAACATGCTAGGCGCTCCGTGATGAGACGCATACCGGAAAGTAAAAAGGACACGAGGAGGATTATGAGCGGAGGATGAGGTTGCGGGCAGTGGAAAGGGCAAGCGTGTGGATGCACTCAGTGTGCATTTTGGTGTTTCGAGCAAATCTCAGCTCTGTCTGTCAACATGAACGAAAGTGGCATCCATAAATGACGGATTAGATTAGCCAAATGGCAAGCGTGGCCCCCAGAGAGATGAGATACAATTTGTTCTGTTTAACTTGGTGTTGTACAGCACTTAGGTTGCCAATGCCCTGTGTTGACAGTTTCACCACAGAAGCTGCTGAACACTTAGAGATAAAGAAAGAGAGAAAGAAAGAGAGAGCATTCGCATCCATTTCTTTTGATTTAACCAGCAATCTGGAAATGGGGGCATGTTAGAGACCTTATCAGCCTGGCTCATGAATATTAATTGGATGTTGGCACTGAAAAGCACATAGATGGACACCAGCTTGGTTAGGGTTACCACTTTTACTCGTGTTCAGAGCTTGGTCGATTAATTATGAACTGTAATCAGTTACTGATTACAAATTCTTAGTCTTATATCTAGTATTAGATTAGACACTTATGGGAAAGTAATCTGACTGCTCTTGGATTACATTTAGATTACTTTTGTGCTAAGCCTTTTTTAAGTCATATATTGAAGTAGGATAATTCTTGAACAATTCTGACAGAAACACTGCGCAAAAAAAATTACATCTTTTGTCATTCGATAATATCTAGTATTAGATTACACACTTATGCCAAAGTGATCTGACTGCTTTTATATTACATTTAGATTACTTTCGGTGCTAACCCTTATTTAAAGTGTGACATAGATTGAAGTAGGATAATTTTGTGCTATTTTTATCAGCAACAAATGCCTCAACAGCTTGTTTTAAAGTACAATGTATCAAACGTTAATACTTCAAAATTATAACACTTATATACGCTGCTTTTAATGTTTGTTTGCGGGTAGTAACACTGAATAAAAAAATAGCAATTTAGTAAAATTACATAACATTACACAAACCAATATCGGAGAACTAGTCACTTATAGATTTCTGTGGCAGAATCTTAGCATCATTGCACACCCCTCCCCCTCTCTGCAAAAAAAAATAAATAAATAAACAAATGTGAAGAATCATGAATGTATGTATATAGAAGCTGCAGGTTTATTATGGAAAAAATATAAAATTAAAAAAACTATATTTGGTGAATTAATGAACAGCAAACAACATTCTGCCTTTATGTAAGTAATATGTAATCATGTAACCCTTAAAAAAAGTAGTGTAATTATGAGTATTTTCAAAAATGTTTACTCTAAGTACTCTAAGTACTTGATTTTGTAATCTGATTATTATACATTGTACAAAAATATATTTTTACAATGACTCACTTTTTATTAATATTATTATTTATTTATGCTTTTAAATTGCACTGGGATCTTGATCTTTTCTCCAAATACTACTGATGTTGAAAAGTTTTAAATAGGTGACTTTAAAGTACTATAAGCCTGTCATGATATCTTTTTTGTTGTACGATATATTGCAACAAATTATATTGCGATAAACGATATTATTGTTATTTTAATAGCATTTTATGCCACTCTTTATTATATAATGCCAGAATGACAATATATTATCATCACAATGCAAGTACACTCCTCCAAATAACACATATAATTTATTCTTACAAATATTTCATTGAATTATAGCCATTTTAACTATTTAATAATGAAGCATTGCAATCAGAATGTGAAAACGCATATCCTTAATAAATAATATTAAATGTTAACAAAAACGTGCAAGGTAAAAAAGTAGCAGTTGTTACTAGATTTATTTTCACTTGTCAGACACCAGCATGAAAATATTCTAATAATTATTGGTAAATAGTAAAGTGTTTTCTTAACCATACTGACACTGACACCTCCGATAGAGATAGAGATGTTGCGCAAAATGTTAAAATGTTAAGCTAAAATGTTGCTAGAATTGGTTTTTATGGGCGATATATATTGCATCATTACAGTACAATAGCCTGGTAATAGATTGCCAGGACTTTTCTGTTAATTTACCAACTTAATTCCTTCGTCTTAAAATAAAAAAACGTGATTATTATATATTATTTCTCATACAATACACTCACTGGCCACTTTATTAGGAAAACCTTACTAGTATCGGGTTGGACACCCTTTGCCTTCAGAACTGCCTTAATCCTTTGTGGTGTAGATTCAACAAGGTACTGGAAATATTCCTCATAGATTTTGGTCCATATTGACATGATAGCATCACGCAGTTGCTGCAGATTTGTTGGCTGCACATCCATGATGTGAATCTCCTGTTCAACTACATCCCAAAGGTGCTCTATTGGATTGAGTCTGGTGACTGTGGAGGCCTATTTTTAAATTTTTTGACCATTCTCTATTAACTAAAGATGGTTATGTGTGAAAATCCCAGTATATCAGCAGTTTCTGAAATACTCAGACCAGCCTATCTGGCACCAACAACAATCCCATATTAAAAGCCCCTTAAATCACCTTTTATCCCCATTCTGATGCTCGGTTTGAACTAAAGCAGTTTGTCTTGACCATGTCTACATGCCTCAATGCATTGAGTTGCTGCCATGTGATTGGCTGATTAGAAATTTGCATTAATGAGCAGTTGAACAGGTGTACCTAGTAAAGTGGCCGGTGAGTGTGTATTGTCAAACAACTCAATTTCAGTAAAAGTCACTTTGTTAAATTGCACAGTTTATTTTTCAACATCAAAAGTCGACAGATCGAAGTTCAAGCTCCCATGATGAGCTTCAAAACAGTAAATAAACAGAAAAACTGTGAATCACAATATATGGAAACTATTAATAAACATCCATTTTAAAACATTGAAATCAGTGAAAATTTGAATATTTCTCAAAGTTTTTTTGAGTTTTGCTTTAATAAATCGATAATAGCTTAATTTAAGGCGTAAAGAGGTGTAGAATGCTTTGCCACCCACATAAAAGCATCAGAGATTTCAGGAGACCAGAATAATAACATTTTCAAAGGAAGGGAAGAGATTACATAAAAAAAGACACAGAGGCATAGATAGAGGAGATGAAGGGAAAGAAGGAGCGAAAGGTTATGGGGTTATGAATGGACAGAGGGTGCCGGATGAGTGACAGACAACACACTCGCAGGTCTCTGGAGGAAGAGAACGAGAAGTGACAGGAGAAAACTGCTGAAGCGCTCAGAGCGTTTACACAGACAGTGATGTTCAGGGGGAAATCAAACCATGTTAAAGGAACAGTTACGACAAAAATAAAGTATTCATAACAAATGCAACGGTTAATTACATTCAGTTTTCTGTAGAAAACAAAAGGAGATGTTAGGCAAGGGTTTAATGCTAGTGAAATCATTTCATTTAATCTGTGTTTGAAGAAGACTGAATCTGAATTCCAAAAGATATTCATAAAAATCTGCAGCATTTCAGGTCCTGGCCTTGTAAAAACAGAAGAATACTTTAGTGTGATATTAAAAAGGAGGGCTTAACACAGAAATAATACACTTAAAATAGATATTTGCTGTTGAATTAAACATTCTCTGATGATTTTTTTTCTTTTTTTTGTTTTTTGCTGAAATTATAGTTCTTGGTGATTCATAACATGCAACTCGGTTTATGTAGTATAGCCACTTTTTTAAGCTACAAGTTTAAATAATGATTAGCCTGCTTGTGTTTTTTTTTTTTTTACTCTCAGAGTGGTAGTAGCCATTGAGTTGCATTTAATGACACACCAATCATGTGCATAACTGAAAATAATAAACTGCATATAAACAATTAAACATTTTCTTTTTCATTTTGTTTCATGAAGTATAAATTAATATTTAAATAACAAACTTTTATTCGTTTATTTTTAATTAAACAGACTTTTAAATAAAATTTTATTTTGTTCAATTAAATTTATTTTGTTTAATTGATTTAATTAAGTTTTATGTTTTTTTTATTTCTACTTAATACAACCAAACAGCTAAAGCTAAACAAAAATAAGCTCTTAGTTAGTTAAAACTAATATTTAAATAACAAAACATTTATTTATTTATTTATTTATTTATTTATTTATTTATTTATTTATTTATTTATTTATTTATTTATTTAAATAAACAGTCATATATGTGTTGTTTGTTTATTTGTTTATTCATATTTATTTATTTGTTTATGCTTGTATAAGCAAAAAAAATTATAAGAAAAAACACATCGGATATCATATGTTCTTTTTCTTAGTTTATTAATTTTTAAAAAACAAAACATTATTTCATTTATATTAATTCAAATAGACATATATGTTTGTTTGTTTCTTTATTTATGTATTTATTTTCATTTATTTATTTATGTTTGTTTATTTATTTATTTGTTTTTATTTATTTATTTATTTTTGTTTACTTATGTTTATTTTTAATTTATGTTTTATTTTTTATTTTGTTGATTTGTTTATTTTCTATTTAAACAACCAAATAATTAAAGCTAAACAAAAATAAAATCTATAACTAAGAAGAAGAAAAAAAACTCGGATATCATATGTTCTCTTTCTTAGTTAGTTAAATTTATATTTAAATAACAAAAATCTAAATAGACATATTTATTTTATTTATTTGTTTATTTGTATTTGTTTGTTTATTTATTTTATTTTTAACCAAAATAAGTGCTTGTATTTACATAATATGTGTGTACTGTGCATATTTATTATTACTAT